TAGAGAAGGAGACAAGTGAAGCTGCCAACAAGGTCAAGGTCGACTGGAAGTTTCTCGCGTCATTCTCGAAGCCCTTGAAGATTCAAGCAAAGAGGGAGCAGCAAGAACAAGAGCAGAAAGAGAAGAACCATGATGGTTTGCATGTGTCAGGGCTGGAGGCGCTGGTGGCAGCAGTGCAGGCGAGGGTTTACCGGGGAGGCGTCGTATTTCACGACCAAAAGGAACTGCTCAACAGCATTCTTGATCGTACAAGCCTGCTGCAGTCAAAGATGCGGTCAGGGATTGACAACCCTGATGATCTACCTTGACTCTGTGAGGATAAAATAAGCTAGCTAACTGAAGTATACGTGAGCATCAGGAATTCGAATTAGTCGAATTAAACTCACGCATCAATTGACGAAGAAATGGCGTCGTCAATTCACGAAATGACAACCAAGAATCAGACGCAGTATTATCATAACCTTTCCATCTGATCAAGTACTGCACACGACGACCTTTCCCACGACGTGCTAAGATACGATCAACTTCGTAGAACTCACCATCGGGATACACAATGGGCTCAGGCTGTGCAACCTTATTGTTGAAACACTCGTCACGAAGATGATACGGTCGAAGCTTCGAAACGTTGAACACTGTGATCTTATGCATTTCCTGAAATCTGGAAGTAATCTCCAACTTGACTGTGCTGTCAGAAACCTTCCCCACAACAGTAAAGGGACCCACGAAAGGCAACATCATCTTGGGTATTGGCACTGACCACTTCAAATCCTTGGTAGACAACATCACCCTATCTCCAACCTTGTATTCGTAAGACCTTCGTTGTTTCGACAACCTCCTTTCTGTATGAATTTGTTGTACACACAACCTTCGGGAAGGAGGGAGAGCACCAGAGCAACCACTGTGCGGTATGAGTCTTTGGTCCGGTGTACCACATCGCTCCCACTGCTCGGAAGCGTTGGAATAACTTTTCCACTTCACGAGGTACTGCAGTCCACGACCACACTTGCGCTTGGCAAGAATCTGTTCAACTTCGATCTCGGGTCCATGACGAGTTTCGATGCTCGAGGAGCAGCGCAAGGGCGACAGCGAGGGAGGGAGAGAGAGCGAGAAGAAGAGGAGGGGATTGGTTTAGGTGGGTTTAGGTGGATGGGAATGTAAGGGGGAGTGGGAGGGGAGTAAATAATCTGAAAGAGTGGCTCGAGATTAACAGCCTGCTTGCTCATCAGTATCTTCATGCAGTCGGACAACAGCTCGCTTCTCTCATTCATCCTTCCGAAAGAGTGCTCGCAGGTGCCTTCTCTCTCCTCCTCCTCCTCCTCCTCCTCCTCCTCCTCCTGATCCATACTTGATCTCTCTCATGCTGGCAGACATGCTAATGAGGCAGCAGTTGTCGACGAGATTCTCAGTCCGGTAAGGGGTATCAAGACTTGGCCATGCAGCTCTCTCAGCTATCTGGGAGCGCATGCCCGCCTACCCCCACTTGTCATACCCGTACCTATACACCCCTACCACACCTCAGCAAGACCTTAGTACTGATATGATCAGTGCTGCTGCCTTCATTTCCTCCCCCTTCTACCGATGGATCTTCAGTAATCTTGAAAGGTACTGTTCAGTTAGTGGAAGGGACAAACAAGAGCAAGCGGCAAAGGTATGGTCACCACAAACATTGATGCAAGTGGAGGTTTATGTAAAATCGCCAGGTTTTTGTCGCACGAAACTCGTTGATACAACGCATCCGTCAAGTGATCAACTGGCCTTGCTCCATTCGAACTTGTCTACGGCAGGAACGTCAAAACTCAACTGGCTCTCTAACCTGCGTCAGCCTCAGCTGAAGACCCAGAGTCTATCAGAGAAGCTATCGAAGTTCACATGTAAGCCGCTCACGACGCCATGGATCTAATCCCTAGATCAACCGAGCAGCAGCTCGACCAGCGTCCTCATCGATCTCTTCATTGCCGCAGGTCCACCCGTACCTTGCATGCATGCCTTTATTTTCCACATTCTTCACCCTGAAGCTGTTGAGATTCTCCTTTGGAACGACAAACACTATCTCCACCTTCCAGCCTTCATCCTTCCCAATGCCCAAAAGTTGCAGGCACTGTGCCATGTACCGTAATTTAAGGTCATGCGGCTGCCTAGTCGTGACCTGCACAAAGCGCACAAATTTTTCACTCCAGTCAACAATCACTGCATCGTAGCCCCCCTGATTTCATTTCAATGGCTTCAGGCCCACCCTTGCTACTTTTGTCATTTCCCGCAGCTTATTGATTTCCATTGCTGCCAGCCTTATCACGTTACAGCTTTTCCAATCGTCGCCTTTCTCGGACCTCGTGGTAAGCTGCAGCCCTGCCCCTCCTATCCGAGCAAAGAACAGCATCTCAAACAACCAACCCCGAAGTGTCGGATTCTCAGTTGCGTCAACGCGTTCTTCAATCTTCCTCACAAACGATTCTCCAAGCTTCTGTGCTAGCTCCATGGAAACAAACCTGCTGACAAGCGTCCAGTGCACCTCGTCTCGCTTGATCTGTCCTATGTTCAAACATATATTGGCGTGAGCCTCCTACAATCTGATACTTTGACTCGATTTCTCATTCGCATCTTGCTCAGAAATCTTCTTTGCTCGAGAGGGAAAGGAAATGAGAGTGGAGAAAGCAAAGGTGACAGAAGAAACAGAGGAGTTGCAACGGTAAAGCGCGCAAGGCAGTAAACCAAGAAATTGACAACAAGTGGATTACAGAAATTTACACTCACAGAGTTCAATTCATCTTTCTTCTCTGCCTCGTCCTCTCCGCCTTTCAAACGTAGGGGTAGTGGAGATCCAGCGCCTTGGCACGACTTACGGCTCTTGAGCTTGGCATACTTACCTGTCTCAACGGATCGAAGCGCAGATTCGGAGGATAGCAAGAGATGCAAGAAAAAAATTCAATTCCCTCATGATGGACAGTAGAAGTTCTGAAGTTCAAATCAATGTCTCTTGATACCACGAGTATAGCTGAGAGAAATGCGAACGCGAATCAGATTATTTGGATATCTTTCAAGCCTGCAAGCAGAAGTTCATAATTGTGGAGTGGACAGTCCAACTCAGTCCTCTCGTTTGCTCAGGAAATTGTCTCTTTATCTCTGAGGCGTGTTCACTCGCTTCCACCTGGACTCCACTTTACTCATCAGTGCGATGCACATTTTCCTTTGCTTTCCACTTCCCTTCACTTTCCTTCGCTTTCCGTTTCTCATCCTCACCTCACCTCTTGACAGTCTGTTTCTGCTTTGACCTGGCTGGTTGTGATTGATCTCTTCATCTTGGTTACTCTCTAGGCCGGCGGGAGACTCTGGCAGCGGCTCAGATAACCCCACCTCTGCAGCTCAGAGGAAGGGGTACTCTGCCCCCTTCCTCCCATGTATCGCTCGACCTCTTCTCTCTTCTCTCCTCTCTCCCTCTCTCTCTCCCTCCCTCTCGTCTCTCTAATATGCAAACTCGCAAACATGCAGTTCGCTGATGGGAGGGAGCTGGACGGAAGTTTTATGCGCGGAGGAGATGAGAGCTCCAAAAAGGAGGTAGAGAAAGAGATCGAGGGGGTAGTGAAAGAGATCGAGGGGGTAGAGAACGATATTCAGGTTGTAGAGAAAGAGATCAAGAGCGTAGGGCAACAGGAACCGAGGAGGCATGCAGAACTTCTTGAAGACAAGAAGCAGCTTCGCAAGGACAAGAAGCAGCTTTGCAAAGACAAGAAGCAGCTTCGCAAGAAAGAGCAGCAGCTTCGCAAAGACAAGAAGCAGCCAGAGTCAGATGCTGGGCTTGATCACCTCGGCTTGTGGAATGACAAGAAATACTTCCGTGTAGATACCTCTTACTTGATGGTGGTCGGCGATGGGAACAGCCGACACGAGCGTCTGCTCTATTACCCAGAAGCCTTCTTGAAGGAGCATACTTTCCTGAGAGAGCGGGTGCTTGACCGAGGGCACCGACGGCGACGTAATCCCTCTTGTCAGGCTGAATGTTGTAGCAGACGGCTTTTGTGTTCAAGTCGCAGGTAGTGAGGCTGACAGACCAAGGCTGCCGTTTCTGATCAAAGATTTAGGAGTGAGATGCCGCGTCCACCTGCAAGGCGTTCCATTGACAAGGATGGGAATAGCCCGAATACTGCGGCAACGAGGAAACTCTTGGAGGGATTGAGCAGTGTTTCCTCGTTGTACGCCAAGATGATCTGCTACATCAAGCTATGTCATGAAAGAAGTGTCGCGGCTGGCGGTGCCGCGCGCGGCACCATTCTGAAATGAAAAGATCCTTGCAGTGTGGGAGGCGTGAAAGAGCGCCTCCGGGACCCTTCATGAGTCGTCTTGCATCTTTCTGTTTTTGTATCAATGAAATCTCAAAGCATTACTCTACTCTGCTTGGACTCCTCCTCAGTTCAAAGGTGGAAACGCAACCTTCGCCTTCTTCTTCTCCTCGCCTTTCTTCCATCCATATCCCTCCAGCGCCCCACAGTCTTCGACAGGGCTTATCCGGAACACCGGCATCCTCTGATTCAGGATGAGAAAGATGATCTCCACCTTTTCCATGCACGACCTGGAGGAATGCCGAGGGCCGTGAGAGCATCCAGGAAGAAAGAAAGCTTCAGAGCATGCTTCTCTCTCACGGTTACCTGCACAAACACTGCCTTCTTGGCATTCTTGTGTACGATCACAGCATCGTATCCTCCCTGAAGCTCGCTGATCGGCCTAAAGCATACTGCAGTGTGAGGGAGAGAATGATTGCCTTGCAGAGAGATGCGGGAAGGAGCTGCTGCTGCAGAAAGCCTTGGATGGAAAAACTTGTAACGATGAAGCAAGACTCAATAATCACTCAGATGTTGCCGAGTATCTTCAAAGTCTTGGCACGGAGTCGTCTCAGACTGAGCTATCAAGTCACTTTGATAAAATGATTCTCTTGCCTCAAATTCAAGCCTCACTCCTTCGTTTTCTACATGAGACTTCTGGGAACAGAGTGCCATAGTGTGACGAAGCTATCGATCTTCGCGTCTCAAGTATTTTCGCAGACTCTTATCGTCTCGCTCGAAGTCCTCTCTTCCCTGCCAGAGCTTCTCCGCTTGTTCATTGCGGAGGAAGGAAACAGTCACCGGGATCTCCTCAGCACTCGCTATCTCGTCTTCGAATTTCATCTTCAGCTTCTCTTCGTGATTGACATACACCGAGGAGATGCCCAGGAGAGTCATGGAGATGAAGGAAGTCACCTCGTTGCCTGCTGAGGCGGTGTATGTCTCGACCTTCTCCTTCTTGGCTTCTTCAATCTGCTGCATAAACCACTCTCTGGATGCGTCACTCCATCCAGTCAAGCTCACGTCGTGCCTGCTGACATGTCGAGCGGATGGCTTCTGCGATAGCGTCGGGGGTGCATCCCTCCACAGCCTTGCAAGCCTGGGCTGTCCTACTGTTCGGATAACGCTTCGCGAAGCTCTTCACTCTCTCGACGAGATCAGCTTCGAGGACCGAGGCATCCACAAGCTCGCCCTGTGTGTATTGGCATGATCTCCGATACAGCAGGTTACGAACACTTTCATCATAATGAAGAACCATACTTAGAAAGCTATTTGAACTATACAAACCTCTTGCTCGCAGCTTCCTTGGCGCCCTGGCGGCTTCCCCTACACCACGCGTGCAGCCATGGTGCCTGAAATAACCGGCGCTCTAAACCCTAAACCCTAAACCCCGGGCCGGTTCAACGGGTTCACTTGCCAAGTTGACTGTCTGTCGAACTTGAAAGCCAGCGTGGCAGGTTTATCATATTAAGAGCAAGAAAGGCCGCCCCGCGGCAAACTTGGCATTACTGTCAGTATGCAGTACCAAGTTGGCAGCAAGTACCTGCTCCGAGGCTCGGAAGGTACTCGATGTTACTGTGGCCCTGTTTCATTGCCGGAATTCATGTTGTCGCTGACTCTGTACGGTAAATGGTACGGTGGCGACACGGGCAACTGTTTGAGTCTCACCCCCCCCCTTGTGTCTATCAGCAGCATTAAGTTTGAGAGAGGAGAAGTGGGCGACGCCGAGGGACTTCGGCGAGGCTGGTGGAAGCAGAATGAACATAAGAATAAATTTCACATCAGATCCGAGTAGTCGTCTCCCAGCGAGTAGTCGTCTCCCAGCGAGTAGTCGTCTCCCACGACATCCCTGACTCTATCTCAGGAATAGCGTCCTGAACAGCCGCAGGCGCATTTCCAGCAGCTCGTCGGCTTCCATCCTCATCATCGCCGCCTTCCCCAGCCAATCTTTCTTCTCCTGCATCTCCATGATCTTCTGCTCAATGGTCCCTTGGCACATGTAGCGGATGATGGTGACTGGGCGCGTCTGCCCGATGCGGTGGAGCCGATGCATCGCCTGCTCATCAACTGCCGCGTTCCACCATGGTTCCATCATGTAAGCTCTCGACGCCATGGTGAGCGAGAGCCCCACGCCTCCCACCTAGAAGGAGGTCAGAGCGAGGCAAGGGGAGCAGGGGGAAGGAGATCGAAAGGATTGTGACCTTGGTGCTGAGGAGGAGAAGGGCGCCTTGAGGGTAAGTGTCGAAGTCTTGTATCAGCCGCCGGCGCTGGAGGATGCTCGTCTTGCCATCAATGCGAAAGATGGGGATGCCAGCAGCGATCATGGCACTTTCTATCTCATCCAAACATGAGAGGAAGTTGGAAAACACGACGGACTTGACTGTCTTGTCTGCCTGCAGAGCCTCCTGCACATCGAGGAGAAGCGCATGAATCTTGGGGTGAAGCCTCTGCTCCTCCTCTTCCCGCTCCTCCTCTTCCGCTTGCACCCGATCCGTCTGCCTCTCCCCGTCCTCGTCCTCGTCGGATGCGTTGCGAGCAAGGTTCTGTTGAGCCTCCCTCGTTTGCTCTACCGAGAACACGTCGCCCTTTGAAAATTTGCCGCGGCATAGGGGACAGACAGCGTCCCCGCCGGAAGAAAGTTCCAGGAGCTTCATGACACAGTCCTCGCAGAAGCAGTGACAGCAGGACCGAATTACCCGCTTCGTCTCCTCGTCGAGGTCATCCAGGCAGACGACACATTCCATGGTTTCCTCCTTGCCAGAAAGCTTCTCCAACATCTTGTCCGCCTCCTCCCGCGTGAGCAGCTTCGTCGCGTTCTCCTCGTCTCCTGCCTGCTGCGCTTTCTTCCTCTCCATATAACTCAACACGTACCTTGCCCTCTCCATCCTCTGCTGGGAGACCCCGCGAGAGGAGCAGCAGGTCTGTCGGAGGCGGAGGATACACTCGAGCACTGAAGAGTACCTCCTCATGACCGCTGTTCCTCCATGCTCGTCGAGGGCAAAGAAAACAGAGCTGGCGGACTCGAAGAGCAAGTTGTACATGTGGAGGTGATGGCCGTGGAGACGGACAGTGTGAGTCTGGATGGAGAGAGGAGGAAGAGAAGAAGCGAGGAGAGCCTTGGATCGCCTCAAGCAGAATGCCTGCATCACCACCCGCAGTCGCGTGATGCCGAGGGAACCCTGTGTCTTCAAGAGCCTGTCAAGGAAAACCAACGGAATTAGGGTAATTAAAAGTTGAGAGGAGGAGGGAGGAGGAGGAGGAGGAGGAGGAGGAAAAAAGAGGTTTCACTTTTTGACATATGTCAGCCAGGTAGAATACTTGTCGAGCGGTTCCACTCTAAGAAACTGCAAGAGAGACTGGATATCGTCCACATCATTCTGCAATGGCGTTGCTGTCAAACACCACCGGTTGATGGCCGTCAGTTGCAGACAAGCTCGATGACTTCTTGTTTTCCTGTTCTTGATCCAATGCGCTTCATCGAGGATCACTCGCCACCATCTCATGTCGAAGATGTCGATGTTCTGGTTTCCGATGATGTCTTGTTTCGAAGATCGTCGTCCTGTATGATACAAGAGTGATGCAAGATGATAGGATCCACATGCAAACTCACCGTCCTTCTTGGCATGTGTTGCATTGCGATTAAAGAGCCATCTTTGATAAAGATTTCTCAAGGTCTCATAGCTTGTAAGAACAACATCGTAATCAGACAGACTGCGTGAGGACACGTTGCAATTTCTTTGCAGGTACTTCGAGTGCAGTATCATCTTGGTCATCTTGCCATCCTCAATGTGCCTTTCGATCTGCGAGTCCCAGCTTGTCAAGACAGAAACCGGACAGACAATTAGTGTCTTTGCTCGCTTGCATCCACTTTCAGCCTTGTCAGCTCGGAGAGCGCGATCGGGATCGTTGGACAGGATGAGAGAGAGAACCTGTATTGTTTTGCCTGTTTGAACCGCATCACATCATTTGAAGGAGACAGTTGCTCAACATGCAGCTCACCCAATCCCATGTCATCTGCGAGAATTCCACCGAAGATAGGTTCAGGTCGTGAGGTCCTCCGGACTTTTGCGATCACGCTTTCGTAGTGAGATATCCCTCCATACCCCGTCACTTTCTTCCAGAGAGCTGAGTAGACGAATTCATTAGTGCTAGAACGATTGCTGACGTTGTCAGGTTTGAGTTGGCTGTGGAGGTTGTTCCTGTTCCCATCGCTATCGATCAGGTAGCAGTCTTCTTTGTTCAGTGATGCGTTTGTACAAGTGCTCAGAGTTGCGTTTTCTCCTCCTTCCCCATCTTGTCGACATTCTCTACTCAACATCCAGTTAATCCCTCGCAACTGGTAATCGTACAGAGTAGTTCGTAGCCCGAGGGTTCGCAATGTTTCCATGCGGACAAGGGAGAGATCGAGGGAGCTTGTAACATTCTGCAAATCATCAATGATACCCTCCAGCGACTCTTGTGAGTTCTGTACAGTCCCAGCTGTCCGGTTGATCACGATTGGGTTGTCAAAGATTTCTTGGGTAGCATTCACTATGGTGAAGGGTAGTCCTGACCGTCTCAAGGCCTTGATCGCCCTCTCTCGAACATTACTGCCTCCTGACAGTCTGACGTCGCAATGCCACACTTCCTTTCTCTCCTTCTCATCGTTGCGATCCTCTCCTTGCAAACTTTCGTTTTCTTGAAGAATTTTCTGCAGGTACACTCGCGCCCAACAGCGCTTCCTCCAGGATACTGATGGGATGAATTTGCAAAGAAAACGGGCGACTGGTCCGTCCACGAAGCCTACAAGTTGATAAGTTTCGTAAATCTGCAAGAATGTCAATCATTCAAAAGAGGATGAAGTAGTTTTCAACACGAAACAGGAGTTGAAATCCAATCAGTTCATCGCAAAACCCTAGAGTTTGCGAAGAAGCAATGGTTCATCTGAAATCTTCGATATCATATCATCCCATCTCACCTGGCAGACATTTTTCAATATGTCTATGTCTACTTCAAATCCCCAGTGCACATTGACATCTCTCATGCTCTTGGTGAAAACACATGTCGCGTTCATTCTTGCAATGAGCGTACTCGTCCGCTTCTGAGGCTCTCTGTTCGACGATCTCCTCCTTTCCACTCTGCGATGCAAACCGAACGTGAAGGGACTGGCTGTAGGATCCACACCTGCTGCAAGCACTTAGATGAAGACAGGAAGGAGAAGACAAACGGACGGAGACTTGGCTGACGGTGAAAGCAATCGGGAGCTGCAACGGCTGCTTGCATTAGCATGGAGTTTGAATAAGAAAGAAGAGAAGTAAAGGAGTAAAGTATGGAGAATGGAGCCACGAGGAGGTGGTGGAGGATTAGGAAAGAGGAGTAGAAGGGAGGAGGAAGGAGGAAGGAGGAGGAAGGAGGAGGAAGGAGGAGGAGGAAG